AAGTCCATCTCGCTATCCATTCGACCACCAGACCACTGCGAAGGAAGGATGCCGACGATGCTTATGAAACCGCTCCACTTTTTCCAGCACTACCACTGACAGTACTTCAATTTTTGGCGAATTTCACCTTGTTTTTGATACCATCTTCATCAGCACCCTTCAATATGCAGGTGATCTTCTGTACAAGTCCGAAACGTCACTCCAAAGCTGTAAAAACCGCCATTCTCAAGAATTTTTTTCGACCCTTTTTTGGCCATCAGGGAACCGTTCAGCGAAAACGAAACATGGTTTTGTGGTCCATACATGAGTCCCTACAGCATGCAAAAAACCGTTTTGAAAAAGCGCGGCTTGCCCTGAAAGACCTCCCTTGTAGGGAAGTTCCACACGTCACGGTGAACGAAGTAAGACCAACGCCAACGTGGTGCTCAGAAACGTCACAGCGCTCTCATAACCAAGACTATCGAACTGCGCCCAGGTCGGCCTTTGCTGCTCTTGAGCCGGGCACTTCGACAGTTTACTCCAGTCGAAGAAAGTACCTGTTAGGGTGGAAATCTTGTGGAATTTCTAGAACTTGATTTTCAAAAACATTCAAGGGTTGTGTGACAGTCCCTTTGTTTGATGATGGTCGCACCTCTGTGAAACCTCTCTACAATCCCGAAGGACCAACATATTCGGTTTTAGAAAAGAGTAAATGACCGTGGATGAGGACAGGCCTCCACTAGTGCAGAAATCGTCAAATATTCTGCGGGATAATGGGAATACTCACGAACTGTGAAGGTCGGCAACTGCATAGCGTGGTGAGAATGGCGTGGACGAACTTAGAAAGAGCTGTGTGCGCGCAGCACGGGTTTCTTTGGACGGATCGACAGTGAGTCAGAAATTGCTTTCCTGCAGAAAAAAGTGATGAAAGTGTGCCCATGGTGAAGTTTTCTCTCTGGCACTGCCTGTCACTGATAATCGAGCGCATTTTCATGGAAAAAACGCTGGAGCAGGAGCAGCGCGTGGAGGGCCTCCTTTTGGACCATCCGGCAGCCATACGTAGCCTTCACTGAGACTGATTGCACGTCGTCTTCATCCCATTGAAAATGTGCAATGCAATGTTGAATACACTCTTAGAATCAAACATTTATTCGAGAAATAAAACAACTATGTGCACGGAGATTCTGTGGTCACGTTTTGGACGTTGAGCTTTCCGGTGATCCCGGATTGGTGGAACTTTCGACGATGCTGCCCTGAACTGCCACACGATGGCCGATATGATGGGTACCGTCCGTTGCGTCTGTCGATTCTTCATTGCTGAATGAGCCGGGACATTCGTCAAAGAAATTGAAGTCAATATCCAATGACACCAATCACCTTTGCGTACTACTGATAACCGTCCGCCATAACAGCCATCTCAACCTGTGTACACTTCGTATCGTTTCCCGGGCGCTACTCCGGCTCTGAGTTCATATCAAAGAGCTGGACACAGAGGGTTAATTACCTTGCGGTTTTTTCACATCGAAACTTCACCCTGCAAAAACCAGAAATTTGCATGAAAAAGACCCCGCGTTTTGAAATTATGACGAAACTGACAACACGGTTCCAGGCCACCCTAAACAGCTACCTCGTCACCTGAAACGCTCACCTATCGCGAACCACCAATCACTCTGAACCTTCAGTTAGCGCTGGAAACCTTTGCAGATACGCACAGTAGAAAACACCCAGATTTCTGCGCATCGAAGCCACTGCCAGTAACAGATCAAGCACGAACCATTGGTAATTTACCCCCACTTCCTGATTTGACCGCTCCAAGTAGCACACAATTAAAAACTTGCGCAGGGTAAGTCATCTACCTTCCATAATGGTTGCTGAACACCTCACGTGTAGTACTAAATCTCATTCAATGAAAAGCACGCCGTGGCTTACACAATCCCAATTATTCTTTTCTACCACTGCAACTTTCTTGAACCATAAGAGTGGGGTTTTCGTGAGGAAATCCCAACTGTCTCGAATTTAGGGCCATGTCGCGACCTAGACGGTTTTATACCTAGTCTAGTAGTACCCAAAGTTAAACCCATATATGAATATCCTACTCACTATAAAGCGTTTCGTCTGTCTGCCTCGTCTGTCTGTCTGTCTGTCTGTCTGTCTGTCTGTCTGTCTGTCTGTGTCTGTCTGTCTGTCGTCTTTCTGTATGTCTGTCACGAAATTCCCTAGCTCCTGGGATCCCTGGAGAGACCGGGTCAAGTGTGGGATGGGTGGGCCATATCTCGAGAAGTACAAAACACACATCAGCCAAGCGGAGCCCCGCCCACAGTGGGCGTGGCGTGCATCGAAATGAACTGTACTTGATTTCAAATTCAGTCACAAAACAGCCTCGAGACCGGGACAAAAGTGGGTATAGGTGTGCATTGGTAAGCCAGATCGAATTAGGGAGACCCACCCCCGGTGGGCGGGGCGTTCTCTAAAAAAGCAGTGCTTTATGAAAAATTTCATAACTCGGTTGGGAGAAAGCCTACAGAGCAGAAAAAATTGGTGTAGGGAGCAATGTCTAAGGTGTTCCCAGCATACATGACGTGGGCGGAGGCCCGCCCACAATGGGCGGAGCGTGCTCTGAAGTGTACAGCGTTTTCTACAAGTCCTCATAATTCGGTTTTGAGAAGTCTTAGAGAGCGGAAAAAAGGTGGATAGAGGTAAGAGGAGGAGGTGAGGCTGAATTTTAATGGTGGGCGTAGCCAGCACAAAAGGGATCGGGCTCTGCTACCAAATGTATTAACTCGGTAAGAAGTCGCAGAGACTAAGTGGATATGGGTTGGCGGCGGAAACAACGTCAACTCTGTTGATGGGCAAAGCACGCACAAAAGCGGGCGGAGTTATCCGCGAAAAACTATTATTAAACTATTATTAACTAACTGATTATAAATCGGCTCCAAGAAGTCATAGAGACGGGGGAGAGGTGGATAGGGGCCGGTGGAAGGAAGGAAGGAAGTTATTACTGGAGGGCGGAGCCTTCACCGAAGTGGGTGGAGTTTGCTCCGATTTATGACTCGGTCCAGGAAGTTCCTGGACATGGGGAAAAGGATAGAGGCCGGCGAAGGGAAGGAAGTGAACTTCCTGATGGTGGGCGGAGCATGCACCAAAGTGGGCGCGGTTTGCCGCCAAGCATATAAATCGCTCAGAGACAGTTCAGAGACCGGGGAAAACGTGGGAGAGATTGGCGAGGAAGAAAAGATGGGTGGACATGCACCGAAATAGGCGGAGTTTACCACGAGATTTATAAATCGGTCCTAGAGGCAGTCCGGAGACCGGGAAAAAGCGGATAATGGTTGACGAAGAAGGAGAGGTCAAAGCCATCGGTGGATGGAGCGGATAGAATCTAGCTGAGAATTCAAATATTCGTAGTGTATCGGGCCAAATTTGAGAATTTCGCCGCACCATCCCATATCGCCGCAGAACTGTGTTGTGCGCGCAACACGTGTGACTCCAAGCAGTAATATTTTGAGCTTCTAATTTCAACCATGGATCTGCGATGAATATTATCGAAACCACAAATCCCGGAAAACGCATAACATAGGCAGCTAGGAAGAACCACAGGCAGCTTCATTCTTCACAGCGAGGTGTCTGAGTCTCTCCTGCAGCTGTGCTCTCTCTCCTCTTTTCCGCCATGGCACCCACCGCCTCCTCATCGCAGCGTTGTCCACCTCACAGGGAAAGGACCTCATAATTTCAAAGTTCCCGGTTCGGTGTTTTTTGCTTTCTTCCCCACATTATGTTTCCTTTGCACTATGTTTTCCTTTTCAAACAAAATAACCACACTTTTTTCGTAAAAGAACCCCTCTGAGCCAGCTGAGCTAAAGGGTAGTCAGAAGTAGCTAAGGAACAACAAGTGTCAAGAGATTCGAAATAATAGGTTGTAGGGAAAGTTCTCGCGGTTTTTGACACATATCATTACCTTAATTTTTTATCAACAAGAAAACATATTAGGAAACAAAGTAATCACCATCACGTTCTATCACTCTTCGCCATTTTTCGGGCAGACTTTTGATGCCTTCGGCAAAGAACTTTTCTGGCTTCGATTCAAAAAAGTTGCTCAACCAGAGCTCAACGCGTTCGAAAAACCGCGAGAACTTTCCCTACAACCTAATATTTCAGTTGGCAAATGTTGCAGCCATCTTGCCCCACGATTTCGAACAAAAT